AAATCTTGTCCGTACCTGGACGTTAGAGATGATACTGTAATCCATCAGAATGGAACCCGTTAATGTCAATTGCTCATCGTGGATAACATTACTTAAACTACTGTCCATAAATATAGAAGCTATCGACACAGCCATAGAAAAAGTCCTTACATTTTTATGAATAACGATGTGCTAGCCTCATGACTGGAAGATTTCTTATGCGGAGACCCCGAGCATTCTCGAGTTCTGGGGCAGCAGTGGGGGCAGCAGTGGGAACAGCAGACAAAAGGACTGATGGTCTTAGCGGATGGCTCACTCTGCCCAGAGCTCTTCCCACAGTGTGGGGCCTTATGACACTGAAGAAACCCTCACTGTCCTTCAATGCCCCGCTCAGATGGTGCTTCCTCAGCCAGCCCTGCTCTCCACTCTCCTTCCTGGCCGAATCGTCCTGACCAGTTGCCTCTTGCGGATTTTCGTCCGCCACAAAAAGTCCCTCCAGTGATATTGAGCGTTGTCAGAGTAGGCATACGCCCCTGCCTTGCGTAGCGACAGTATAGAGAAACCCAGCAGCACGACATAAGCCACCATCCCAGGGATGGAAGGCATTGGAGGCATTACTGAAGGCACCCTGAGACCAAAGCGGACTGCGACAGTGTGTGCCGATCCCCTGCAGGGAGAGTGTTCTCTGTCCATTGAGCTTTAGACAGCATCTCCAGGCCTACAGTACTTTCAAAATAGAAAGTAATATTGAAACAAGCACTAACTGTAGGGAAATCTCCAAGCAGAGAGATAGGGGCTGTCAGAACCCCCAAACCTGTTAGATATCATCTACTGCCTTGCTACTCAAAATGTGGTTCAAGGATAAGCTATTTCAAAATTACCTGGGAGCTTGTTAGAAAAGTAGAATGTCGGGCCTGCTCTGGTTGAGATTCTGCTCAACCAGAATCTGCATTTTAGTAAGACTTCCTAATGATTTATATGCACATTAAAGTTTAAGAAGCACTGGCTCTACTATAAAAACCAAATTGAGGTATTTAAAAAAAAAAACAGTTATTACACAAGTTGGGACTCAAGAACTGGGTAGAAGTCAATTTAACTAATTAAATTATTTGTTGATGTCCAACAATATGTCAGGCTCTGAGTTGGGTATTTCAGGAAATGAAGGTTTGAGGTTAGGCAAGGTTGGTACAGTGCCCTTGAGGGAGAATATAGAAAGCACATATGTAAGAGGAAGACTTTGACTCGTGCTCCAAAGGGAAGAACTCAAGCAAAATGTAACAGGGTTTGGTGGAGCAGAAGCTGGAGTGCAGAGGGAGATCAGGAAGCATGCAGCAATTGCACTGACTTTCTGACAGGTAGAAACGGCTGTGGGGAAGTGAGAGGGCCTATTCCAGGCAGAGGGAACAACGTAAGCAAAGATGTAGAACTCAGAGACCTAATACGTGTTAAGGAAACACTGCCTTCAGTCTGTAGCAGCGTCAAACTGTTTCCTAGAGACTCTTGACTCTATAATGATGCCTCAGGACTACTAAGGTCAGGAGAGGAGGCCAGTGGGATTTCTGGGGCCCCATTTCAACCACATGAGATTATATTTCAACAGGGGATTCCAACATTGAAAAATAAAATTTGAAATGTATCACTGAGCCGATACACAGGGTGCTTTTAAAATTATCACCCAGAGTTGTGCCAGGCATGTAGTAGGTACTCAAATATTCATTGAATAAATTAATAAATGAATGAGTGAATCAATCAATGAGATCTAAGTAAAAATGCAGAGCTACTTTGAGGATGGACGGCAGAGGGTCTTAACTGTTTGAGGAGAGGTTTATATGTCATCTGGTTGGGCGCTGGGGAAAAGTTTAATAACCAGGGACTGAACTTGACTCCGCCTTGGAAAGCTTATTCTGCAAAACCAACTGTTAAATGGATTGGAAACGGAAGAGATTAGAGATGGGAAACTAGTCAGGAAGCCATCATGGTAGTCTACAGAAAGAGATAAGAAGACTGAACAAAGACAGTCACCATGGGAATAGAAAGATGAAGAAGCAGGCATCATGGGGCATCAGGAAAAGTAGAGTCCATGGATTTGTTTGTGAATTATCTGCAGAAAGCAAAGATACTGAGGAGGTCCTCAGTGACTAGGAAAAATATGAAAATTGGCACAGAGATAGACACAGAGTCACCCTGTTTATTTAGGAGAAAGATATTAATTGGAGTTTAGACCCATTAGATCTGAGACACTCAAAAGTAACATAAAACCAACTCTTAAGTGGTTCAAAATGTAAATATGAAATTTAAGAAGGGAAGCAGTGCTAGAATATCACTTTAAGAAGAAATAATCTAACACTAATAAAAAAGACACCACTGTATAAAAAGTATCATACAAAAGAGCAAAAAGGAGATAATCTATAATCTATACAGCCACAAACATCAAAAGAAATCCCCAGAATTTTTTTTTTTCAAATGAAAAGGTTAAAAGACCATGTTGAGACATAGGGGGAACAGTGACAGGAACAGGAGGTGGCAAAATAGAGATAATGAAATGGTGTGGAGGGGTTATAATAAAAAAACCAGAAACACATGAAAAGCCATGGGAAACTGGGACAGACACACGCACTCACTGTTCTTTATACTTTTGAAGACTTAGAGTCCTATAGGAATGATAGAAAGCGATTTTGCTCTTTATTTTTGTGAACAAAGATTTTTACACATGAAGCAGTCACTCCTATGAGAAGTTAGCTAATTGCTCATGTCTTTTTTTAATATAAATTGTTGCTGTTAAAAATCAGGCAATGACATCTTCAAATTTAGTGGGAAGAAAAATGTCTAAGGGCAAAGCAAGGGGTGGCTAGCACAAGGACTTAGGATCTTTGTCTTTTTCATCGTGCCCGACTCCACACAGCATCATTCTGTGTAGACATTTCACCTTTCGGAATAGTTTGTTTTGAAGATTTTTTTTTCTCTGAGCCAGGTCACTTGCCTGAGAAAAAGAAAGCTGAGAGCACCTGCTGTATTTTGATAGATCCTCATATAATAGTTGTACTTTGTAGTTATCCTCCAGCTGCTGACAGATCTCACTAATTGGCGGTGTTTAGGTGACAAGTACTAATGAAAGTTCCTTCTTTGTTTTGACTATAGAGGAGACACCTCCATTGGTTTCCTTTCTGCCTCAGTTCAAAAAGTATACATTAAATTTCACTGTTCTCTTTTTGCTCTGTGAATCTGTATGTTGTTAAAATGCTGTAAAATATCAACATTATTTTTCTTAATATACATGATAGTGGTTATTAAATTTTCTATAAAGAGATCATTATTTATGTAATGTAAAATAATATAATGCAAATGAAGTACTTAAGGAATTATACTGCAAAACATTAATATCACTGGGATGATTCCAAAAAGGACAGTAATGTTTCCTTTATTATGAGAATTCACCTTCCCAAAAGCATTTCACTGTAAATGCACGCAAGAGAGGTCAAGGAGATCTACAAGAATAGCTACTTGATTTGTGGTTGTCATCCCAAGCTTCCTCAAATCACTTTTGGAAATGGGTAAGAGTGTGAATTATAAATCCACAAATACTTAATTTATGGGAATATAGAATCTGAAAAACAACCAGCACTTTGATCAAATAAACATTTTTTTCATTTTAAAAACCTCAGGTAACGACAGAATTTGCAATGCAATATTGTGCATTCTGAAGCCCTTTATCTATTACAGGGAAGGGGCAGCACATGCTCAATGCACGTATGGCATCAAAATGAGATTAAAGGACTCCAAAAACCAGTGAAATTCGATCCTGAAACATTTATGGGAGTTCTTTCAAGCCAAAACCTTTGTCATTATCTAAGACGCAGCTTATTGACTTTATGAAAAGGCTTTTTTTTAATTAGACAAATACATTTAACACAATTTCATGAATTGTGTGGAAACTGCCAGTTTCCAAGCTTTAGGTTGGGCCCTGTAACACAAATGTTTTGCTCCTTGTATTTGAACATCCATTGCCACATCTTGACAAAGTTTGCATTAGCCTTGGTGTATCGCTTCTCAACAAAGCAAAACCAAAGAGAACTGCAAACCTCGTCTGTGTATGAAAATGAAGAAAATGAAGAAAGACGTTCCCCAACTTTTGAGAGCATTCCCAAACTGCGTTTATTTTGTATTCATGGAGGTGGGGAGAGGGGGTAGTTGGCAATTTATTTTCCCTGAAGGACCCACAGCACTCCCCATCCAGGTTCACCATGAAAACTGTTTGTCCTCCACAGTCTGAGGAAGCATTCCGGGAAGCATCGTCCTGCCAGCTCTCCGTTCTCCCTGCGGGCCCCCGCACATAACAGTGGCGAAGCAGATGGTCCTCCCCCTTCTCTTCTTCTCGTCCCTTCCGCAGTCCCACAGTGTCCTCCCACCCTGCGCTGACACCTTCACCAGCGCTTAGTGCTTAGTAGCGGAGGCCGCCCCTCAGGGCTCCCAGCAAGTACAAACTTTGGGGACCTTCTCTCTGCCTCATCGTCCCCATCTCACCTTGGTTTAGCTGCAGGACTCTCCTGGGACCCCGAGCTTCGACTGCTATCCTCCCACACCTCTGTCCCCACACTACCCATTTCCCTGTAATGAAGAGAAAGACAAACCCCAAACTTCCAAGCTCAGGTGGCAGAAGCGCTGCGGCTAACCACAGCGGGGCACTAGCCTTTGCCTCTCCCCTTCTCCATCCTCCCCATCCGTCCTTGGAAACTGCAGCCTACCCTTGGGACTCCTCTGCTCCTCTGGCTTCCACGACCTAGTCCCAACTCCAGAGGCTAGCAGGAGCCTCGCCTCTGCAGCTGGGGAGCAGCGCGTGGGCGCCCTCCTCTACAAGTGGGACCGCAGGACAAAGTGCAAACTCTATCGGGAGGGGGGCTCCCGGCCATTCCCGCAGGCGGCGTGCCCAGGTGCCCGCTCGCTCTGCAGAAGAGGGCGGGGGCCGGCAGGAAGGCGGCGCCCATTCCGGGGGCGCCGGGCTGGGCTGGGCGCCTGGAGCTTACCTCGGCGCGCGGGCCGCGGGCGCGTGGGGCAGTGGCTCCTCCAGCCGGGAAGCTGTTGCTCACGCTCTGGCGGCTGTGGCGGTCCCGCCAGGGCTGCACTGGGGCTTCGCGCAGACGCTCTCCCGCGAGCTGCTGCAGCCCGGGCGGTGGCGGCAGCGGCAGTGGAGGTGGCGCTGGCGACAGCTCGGCCAGGCGCGGCCCCGGAACTGTCCAACTCTTGCCGGCGCGGGGCTGAGGCGCCCGGCCGCGGCCCCCGCGCTGAGCGCCTGCGCGCCCGGCCTCGCCCAGGTGAGGGGCGTGTGCCGGAGCCCGCGGGGCGCGCCCGCCCGGCCCCGCAGCCCGCCCGGCCTCCTGGCCTGGCCGAGGAGCCCGGGTCTGGACGTGCAACGCCACTCTCGCGCCCGAAGCTGTGACGGTTTAGCAAGCAGAGACCTGGGAGGCATATACACACGGGTGAATGAGGCGGGACCGCTCGGGGGCTCGCTGACACTGCAGAGCCTCCCGCAGCATCGCTGCCTTAAATCCCGCCTTTCCAGGCGTGCGCGCACCGCGAGGGAGAGGAGGCTCCGTCCCCACGACGGGGTCCAGCGCGGTCCTCAGCCCTAGGGCTCGTGTCCCCCGAGAAATTCTTGGCAATGGCAGAGGTCCCAAAACCGAGATGCCAAGCCGCGCGGCCGGGCGGACGTTTCAAATATTAGTCAAGCCGGAGTGAAACTCTCTCCTTGGAGATAGTCAGACCAACTATTTGTTTTTCCTCTTTGGCCAGCTCTGGGCTCACAGACCACAGCGAGCAGCCTTGGCATTTTTGGCGGAGTCGGGCAGGCCCGCAGCGCAGAAGGCATCACTCGCCGCGGGTCTGAAAGATTCGCGGGCGGGGGGCTCGTTTTCCTCCGGGTTTCTTTTCTGTGTTTATTTAAGTTTTCGAAAATAAAACATGTCATCAGTTACCCTGATGTAGGGCATCTTCTGCAAATAGTGAAAACGTGGCCAAGGTGCTTGATTCTGAAAGGGAAAGCACTTAGAAAACATTTAAGGAGAAAGGAAAAATAATTTTAAAAGAGCAGTTTTCTGAGATTACTTCTTGCGGGGGGAAGTTCAAGAGTCATAAATGACAAGAACGCTGTATTTTACAGCAGGAATTTTTTTTTTGACAAGATGATTTTAAAATATTATTCTTTGGTTCTCGTCTCATATGATTGACACTAACTCCATAAATAATTAATCCTGCAGCTGTTAATGTCTTGGCATCGTCCAGAGTAAATATCTTAGTGCCCAGCCAAAGCCAGTGCTGTTCTCCAGGGTGGGTTTGAGATCTGACAAACACACACGCACACCATCCTACAGCTTTCTAAAGGAGCAGGTTGTGTTTATAAGCCACCTTGGAATTTAGGGTTATTGCAAGTGCCAGCACACCTGAGGAACCAGCGTGAGAAAGGGCATAAATTCAATTTATAATTTTTGTATTTTTAGAATCCAAATATCTTCACATCCAGGTAGGCAGTTTCACTTACTACTAAGGACAGACATTTATTGGTATGTTAATTCTTAAAACTGTACCCTATTTGAAATTGCTACAGGAGGCAAGCACCAAAATTCAATCACTGTATTCCAGAAGAACATAAGCTATGATAATTGCTTAAATTTTCTTTTACAATATTATGATCTTAAGGTCTCTTCCCATTAATACAGGTTGTATTGAAAACAAGTCTTTCTTGAATCCCTGAAGGTCAGTAAGATGAAGCTTTGGCAGACTGAGACGAATTCCAGAGGCAAAAGCCTTTCGAGAGGAACACCAAGCTTCCATTGCCATGCACTTCAGAACTGAGAACAGTGCGGTTGTCACCGTGGTTGCCACTGAGCTCAGGCAAGTATTGGAATCTCCAAGAACCTAAGTTGCAGAGAAAGGGTGAGGGCTCCTTAAGGCCTCCAGTCAACACCTTGGATTGCACTTGGAGGCAAATAAGTAACCTCTGCAGAGTGAGAACACCTGTGAGAAGTGTTCCCTGTGGTTTGCACAATTTAGCAGCATGTGCATTTTTTATGTCCTGAAAACTGCAACTATTTCCTTCTCTCCTCCCTGTCTATTTTTAATCACCTATAGCTAAAACTTATGAGGAAGAATAATTTGAGGATTGCATTTCCTAACAGCTGAAAGAAGCATAAAATACATGCAGACAACTCCCAATTTTTCACCTGTGACATAACTGATGAAGAATCCCGCCCTTTGTGTCCTCACCCAGGGCAGGATTAAGGCCTCTGGAGGCCAATCACTGAAACAATAGCAGTGCCTCCCTTCTAAATGTACTCCAATATGGAAACAACATTAAACTACAAAACACAAGATTTAAATGTATAGACAAAATTAAAACAGTTTCTGTCTAGATTTTCTGATTGCAAACGTGTGCCTATTGGATGATTTGGCACTGACCGTGCCTTTCCAGTGCTGTCTCACATAGGGGATCCTTCTGTCCTCAAACCCTCCTACCACCATTTTCCTAGAACCATTGTTGCTCATTCCTGGCAATAATGGAATAAAGCAACTCACAGAACTATAGCCCTAGGAAAGGAGCCTTTGGAGAGCAGCATACCCGACAAGGAGAGGGCCCAAATATCAAGGAGGAATTTAGCAGAAAGGGATTATTTTAAGCCTTTTTTTACTTTTTTTGTTTATAAGGTATATGGTGCGTTGGTTCCTAAACATTAAAGGCTTTAAGCAGACATAGACTTCTTTTAACTACATCCATAAATTCACACTTTCCAGTGGATAAGGAACTCGATGATAACAAGAACATCAACAAATTTGAAGACTTC